GGTACAAAGACTCCGCGCAACTTACGCTGAGATAACCGAGAAAACAGAGCTCGGAGATTTTCCACCTAGATTACAGTGCTCCCCCAGCACATCTACGCTTTCCCACACTAGAGGGGGGCTCAAGTTGTCAAAATTGATTAACTCATTGCCTCCACTATGAGGCTGTCTGATTCAGGTTGTCAAACATTGTGCAGAATAGCAGTGATTTATCCTTAAACTATGTCAGTGTTTGTTTTGTTTAATCACCGCTCGTCCTTTTGTTTCTCTCCAGCATTGAACTGCAGGGTTTAAAAAAAAAAAAAAAATCATGTCTGTCTTTTATTGTTGCAGGGGTTTCTGATAAGTCAAAGAAATTCCAGGTAAGAGTACACCCTTCATTGAATTAAATCTAATTCTAAAAATATTTGTCAATGAGAGGGCCCGCCTGCCCCCCCTTGCAAATTATTCACCTGGGGTTCTTTGCTTTCCAGCCGGCAGTGGTTCACTTACAAGGACAAGAAACAACAATCCAAGTGAGGGAAGGTGGGTGCCTTGCTCATGCTCACTCGGAGATATACTAGCGTGTTTGACACGAAGCAATAAGCACGAATTATCCCTGTCACTGCTGTTTGTCAAACACACAATTTTGGAGTTATACCAAACAGACGGGCCTGCCAAACATTGAAATTACAAGAAAACAAATGACATTTCTTTAGATTGTTGGCACGCCTTTGATGGTTCGCTCGAGAGATCCAGCACGCCACATCTGAGGGGATTATGGTCTTTATGTTGAAATATGGAACCGTCTACAAGCTCCTGTTAAAATGTAAAGCTCGTGCTACGTAAGAAAATAAAATGAAATAAATCATTTCATATTTTTACACATATCAGGCCATGTAGTGCGTTCCAATTAACTAAGAAGGAAAAACTGCAAAATTAGTGCCCGTCCTTTACCTGATAGTTAGTTGAAGCACATTTCCATTCTTTGGCACATACCTAAGATCAATTATAGTCAAATAACCTAATCTAACTAAACTGAAATGAAGTCGACCTGATTTTCAACCTCTAGCTAAAGGCATACATCGCAGAAAGATTACAAAGGATCTCATTGTTCAAAGATTTTGGTGAGGACAAGAGTGTAAGAATCCACAGTAATGTATCTTGGCACAGTAAAGAAAATCTTTAGTTATTAGAGAGAGAAAAAAAAGGGACAATGGTTCCAAAAGCTGAGGGTTTCTCTAAAACTAAAGCTACACAACAGATATCGAGGGAGGCTGCTGGGCCGCAGCACCGAAGAAATCTGCAGGAATTTCCACTGAACGCTTCCTTGTGAGAACAGTCTTATGTATTCTCCATATGTTTGGACTAAGGAATAGTTTTACATGAGAGGAGCCTTTTTCTTTTGTCCAAAGAAAACATCCACGTCTGACTAAAACCTCTCAAACCGTGTGGGGAATCTTTATTATCTAAAGGAGACGAACTGAAACCTTGGGCAAATATTTTAACGCTAAAAGAACGTCATGCTAAGTGAAACATGGTGATGGTTGTATCATGATCTGGGGTTAGCTGGAAAATTTTGCTTCGTCAAGACGGATGAAGATATGAGTAGCTTTGACCCAAAGTCTTCAGGTCCTTGGTAGAAAGATGAGGAGCGATTTTTATTTTTTCTGTGTCAAACCAAGTCCAACAAAATAAGAAAATTCAGGTTTTGGTACGGATGAGCCTTTTTTCAAAAAGCTGCAGTCAGAGTTGCAATTTTTTTAAAGCTTTATTTTTGCCATAGCGTGGTCTTACAGAAATAATTGATACTGCTGCACATAACTTCCCCAAAAAAGACGATATTATGCCATATTTAATAATTAAAATGGAAATAACACTTTCAAGTAATTCTAGCGCCCGTAATTCATAATAAAATCATGTTTTGGGGAGTTGTCAAAGTCCAAAAGTGTAATTCCATATTGGTCAATTAAGTTAACATGAACTGTAGATTCAGTGTAAGAAAATCCTACAAATATCTCAAAGGCTTTTGCAAAAAAAAAAAAAAAAAAAGGAAAATGTTACCGTTTAGCATCACATGCTTTCATCCATTAGGTTCGACCTTCACAAGATATCATGAAACATGAGGTTAAATTAGAAGTGGGCTAAGGCTATTGGACAAAATACAGCCGAGCTGCAGTGATTGGTTAGAAAAGAAGAAAAGACAGAAAACGTTAACTTGCTCGGAAAGATTTGCAGAGAAGTGAATTTGTGAACGATGAGGTCATTTGCGTCAAGTTTCGACATCACGACTTCCTGGAGGGACTGAACGCTGCCAAGTGAAGGAGTGAGGCGCTCACAGACCACCACCAACGAAGACCGATTGCTCACAATATTCAAACAAATCTCATTGTTTCATTTTTGGTCCTTTACACAGATTTATTTCTTATTCAGTTGAATTGCAAAGGATGAACGTCAGAGCTGCTATGAAATGAGAAAGTAAATTTTCCAGCTGGAGAAATGTGTGATTCCGCGACTTTAACATTGTGCAGGACGATAGCGGCCTAACTGTAATCTCACTGCCGTTTCATGTTCATTCAACACATGTAAGCCTACGTTAAATGTCAGAGCCATGTGGCCTGACGTCAGGACTGAACGGCTCGCATGCTACCTCAGTCCTTCTCCTAAGACGGAGCACAAGGATCATTAAGCAGGTTTATATTCTGTCAGTGCCAAGATCTGTTTTTCGTTAAAACATCGCCACGAGTTGTTTATGTTGACCGTTTGTCTCGCCCTGTGTTTGTTGTGACATGTTTAGATCTGTCTCAAGGCGTCCTCAGGAACTGGAAGATGGTGTCCATCAATAAAGACGTGTTCAGGATGAACCCTCGCACCGGAGAGCTGGTGGTGCTGCTGGACGGTGTCTACTTCATATATAGTCAGGTAGAAGTGAGTACGGTCCTTGACGTAACTCCTTTAAAATTACAGTCGAAAAGAGCTGGCAGCTGATCTTAAAAGAAACCCTGCCTGCTTTGTTAATGTCTGAGTCATTCTCTTCCCTCTGTGGCTCAGTGTGCAGCTCTGGAAGTTGTGCTTCTGCTGCCGCTCAGGCTCTCAGAGAACCCCCTAAATGCTCACGCCGCCCTCGTTTAGATTACCCCTCTCAGTCTTGTGCGGATCTCCTTTCTTTTCTCACCAGGTATACTACCTCAACTTCACCGACATTGCCAGCTATGACGTGATGGTGGACTCCAGCCCGTTCCTGCGCTGCACGTGCAGCATCGAGACAGGCCAGCGCAAGTTCAACACCTGCTACACGGCAGGCGTGAGCCTGCTGCGCTCGGGCCAGAAGATCTCCATACGCATAGCCCACGAGTACACGCTCATAAACATGACCAATCACACCACCTTCTTGGGCAGCGTCAGGCTCGGAGAGGCTCCATCTGCTGGACAGAACGGTTAACCGCACTCGCCGTCTGCTGTCTTGTTTCGTCCTGCCTGATGTGGGATTGCTGGGTTCATTTCAAGGCCAATGTCTAGAGGACACTCGGCGAGCTTTGGTGACTTTTGTTCACTTTCAAACGTTTGCCTTTAAGAAAAAAAAAAAGGACTCTGAACACTTCAAATACTTCCCTTCCACATGAATATGTGCAGAGATACGCCTTTTGGAACCAAATATCCTCGTCAATCTTCAAAATCTCTATTTATAGTCACCCTCGACGCGCAGCAGCTCTCTTTATAACAAGGAAGGACACTGTGCTGATAGGTACTTAGTAATTACGTACTTTTAAGTGCTGTTGAACAATGACAAAAAAAAAAAAAAAACAGTGATAGTGCCTTGCAAATTTATTCATGATTCACACTCCTCAAATCTTTCATCACGTCACAGCCACAAACATGAATATATTTTATGAACATTTTATGCAATACACCAACATAAAGATGTCCTTAGATCTGAAGTGGAAGGAAAATAAAGTTAGCATTTTTTTTTTTACAAATAAAAACCTGAAATGTCTCTACCAGCTTTAAAATGTTGGCTACTTTGACTTTGCAGAACTCGTCAATCTCACAGATTGAATGGAGACCATCTGTAAATAACAGGTTTTAAGTTGCCACTGTGTCTCAATTGGATATAAGTTTGGCCTTTGGCTCATTTATGCATTTGGCATGAATATGCTTTGATCCAGACCGTTCCATTGGAGCTCTTGCTTTGTTTGGGATCATCTTGATAAAAATTGAACCTCTGCTTACTAACTAATTGTCTTTCAGAATCGCTTTGTTCTGGGCTTTAGCTGGCGTCCAATCAACTCTGACTGGTTGTTCTGTTCCTGCTGGTGGGGGAAAAAACAAAAAATTCCTTCAACATGATATTGCCGTTGGGATGACATTTTTATATTTTTATTAGTAAAGTTTAAATCCGTTGTGTAATTTTCCTTCCATTTCTCAGCTCTTTTTCTAAGGCCATCAAATAAACTTCCAATTGCAAAAAAAAAAAACCTTAAAAGTGTGTGATTGTATTGCGGTAAGATATAAAAAAGGTACTTTAGCGAGGCACTGTTTCTCTCATGATTTAGTTCCTGTTTCTATTATTTAAGCCTTTTCTATAAGTCATGGAAGGAGGAGTTGAAAACTCCACGAGATGCAAGGACAGAGGAAGGTATTCAAAGAGCAACAGCACTATATATGTATATATATTTTTTTTTTTTTTGCGCACATTTGCACTACAGCATCCCTGCAAAATACCAGTGATATGTCTCCCAGTGCTTTTGTTTAGTTACTTTATGACTGAATCCATGTAGAGAAACAAGTTGTTAATACATGCTTGTACATAATGTATATAAAATGGAATATACTTTTGTAAATGGAGTTGATTGATGGATTAAAATGTTTTCATTTTCTGCCTAAGTGCGCCTCCCTCGTCTTCTGTGTTTGTGCAGCCGGTGGTGTTCATTTAAAGGCCTCCAACCTCCCTTTCATATCAGCCCGAACTGGCACGAGCGCTGACAAGGACAAATGATGCTGTGCGAGCGGGGCCTTTGTCTTTATTAAAATGTGGCTTTTTACGTTGTCTGCGAGTTTCACAACAAGCCACGGAGTTGGCTTTAGTTTCAGCAGTTTAAAAAAAAAAAAAAATTGAGTTCCATCTCCGAGAGGCAACAAGAGGACAGTTCCTCATTTAGAAACTCATTTTGAAACTGCAGGTTTCCGGCGTGCACTGATGTGCGACCTCACCCATTTGAGTAGCTGGAGGAACATCCCGTCAGCAGGTCTCACTATGCTCTATAAAGCTTTATTCTCGCTAACGGCGATCATGTTTTGTCTTAGCCTTTTCCTAGCGCACAGGGTCAGTGTTTTAGAAAAGGACTTTCAGAAACTCCGAGGGGACATAAGTCAGCAATTAAATCAGCAACGTTCTGGGGGAGTCCATGGGAAACCGGCCAAGATGTCTAAAACAAGGGAGGTATGTCAATGATTACGCATTATGGCGTCATCTTGGACACTGTACTACTGAGATTTATACTATTAGCGAGTATTCAGATAGTGCTGCAATAATAAATTTCCTCTCAATGCGTTGTTTTCTCCCAGGGCATGAAGCAAAGTGTTTTCCAAAGAGCTCAGAGTTCTCTGGAGAGCTTTTCTAGGAGAGTAAAAAGAGAACAGAGCAGCTGCGGAGGTGGGTTCGGAGCCGAGAACGAAAAAAAAATAAAATAAAATGTGCTTATTAGCTATTCTCTGCACTGTAAAACCCAAGCAGTAGGCGAAAACTCCTCTTGCTTCAAAGCAGTTTAATAACCAACATGCACATAAACTTTTAATGTGGTTAAAATGACAGGCATTGTTTGATTTCAAAAGTACTTACGAGTGAATCAAGTTGTAACCCAGCCGGCTACATAATATAGCCTGCTGTTAAGGTGTCTGTCAACTTGCCAAGTTCACAAAACTTTAGATATTTTCTAACGTAGAAATTATCACTATAATGTCTACATTAAGTGACGCCAACTAAAATTGTAAATTTGCATTTTTTTTTAGGTGAGGTTCTTTGACGTTATTAGCTTTGGTTAAATATTATGAGTAATGTTTAGCTAACAGCTAGTCAGATGGCGGCTGCTTTAACTGACTAACTGTTTAAAACAACTGAATGAGAAACGTGTCAGTGCAGTACAACACTATGGCAGCAAATATTAACATTTACAATCAGCAAACTGTTATGTTTGGTGCTGTTTTTTAAGCCAAGCCATGTCTGCTTTCCTATGTGGAGTAACTTTGGATTACATTACTCCAAAATGTATGGCTAACGGATTTTTTTTTTTTTTTTTTTTTTTTTTGCCTTATATAAAATTTTAAATAATTGTACATTTTTTAAGAACACTAAAAAATCTTTTAACAGACGTATGTTGTCTATTGTATCATACTTACTGAATCTCATAGGTTTTTTTTCAGATATAAAACAAATTAAGTAATAAGTTTATAGTTGCTAATTATTAAAATATATTAATTATTTTAAGCACAACCAACATTTGTTCCATAACTTGAAAGCAAGATACTGTCTCCAAAGTTTGAACGGTATTATAGTAAACTTAAAATGAATTAGTCAAGACAACACATTTAAGTCATGAAATGTAAACATGTGCAAAAGTTAGTTTTTTCAAAGCAACTAAGTTTTTTTATCAAGCGCCGATTTTTGATGGAACTTTTAGCCAAGTTATGGTATCTTATCTCATTTATGGGTTGAGATATGGTGCTGGGTTTTACAGTGTAATCTGGTAGTGGGGTCAGAAATGATATCTTCACAGTTAATAAAATTAAAGCATGATTTTTATCTACCTCTCTTGCCAGCGCCGTTATCATTCCTACAGTTGAGAGCTGACACTAACAAACAGCCAGAGAGAAGAGGTAAAACGAAACTCAAGTGCTTGGCCTCGGTTCTACTCCTTTCTGCCATTATTTTTGAATAAATGTGTTTTGCCTTTCCCCCCAGGAAATATAACTGTGATCCCCTGGACTGTTTCTGCGCAGCGAGGAAGTACAATTTCACAGAGGGAAAATAGGATCGTTGTCCAAGAAGATGGTTATTACTTGGTGTTTGGACAAGTATTGTGTCATTCCAAATGAAGCGTAACTAAGTTGATATTGCATATGATTTATTCCAAGTATTCGGCTAATGTTCTACTTAACTCACAGGTTTTGTTTGAAAGTCAAAGCACGGTTATGGGTCATGTCATTCAAAGCTGGAGCTCCACTGAGGCAGAGACGAGGCCCACAGAGCTCTTGCGCTGCCTGCAGGATGGAACAGAGGAAGCTTTTGACAATACGTGCTACTCCGCAGGTCAGTGAGACCCAACAGCTGCTGCTTTTTGTTACCTGTGAGCAGACAAATTCAAGGACTCACTAAGAACTGCTATATATTATAAGAATGAAACTGACTTACTGTTGTTCTGATCATGAGTTATTTTGGATAGCCCACATGAAAAGTTAATGTGGTTGTTGAAAGTACTTTTAAAAAAAAAATAAACTCCCCATAACTTGTAATTGTAAGGAATGTGAACCTGCAAGTTATTCTGAATACCACAAGCAACATTTTAGTTAGAAAAAGGAACAAGTTGGGAGGTCGTTTTAGTCTTATTCCAGGTGAAATTAAGTGAATAGTAAAAAAAATTGTAGATATCTGAAAAGTATTATGTCAAATACCCACAATGCTAATTAAATGACATCTAATTATGGCTATGTGGAGCTGTGAGCACCCACGAGTTTGGACAAAAGTCATTTGTTGACTAATTTGTCCTGAGGAGAATAATAATGGTTGAAATATGTAAAATGTTGTGGGATAATTAAAAACTCCTGCTGGATATCTAAGAGATTCCTTTTGATCCAGAAAAAAAATTATGAATACTGGACTGAAATAACTATAAATTCTTAGCATCTGTAGACACAGTAATCTTTGTATTTCCAAACAGAATTTTAGATTTAGAAACTTTGTTTTAAGTTTTACTATTAGGAATTTGATTTTAGGTATCATTGATTTTAATTCTAACCAGCAGGACGTCTAAGCAAGAAGGATGAGATGAGAGCATGCTATGATTACAGAAAATTACCTTCCACAGTCAGTGTAGCTATCAAACAGGAGAAGAAAAAAAAGCTTTTACCTAAAAAAAAGGTTCCTATTTTTTAAACCTGCACCTCTGCTCTTGTATAAGTCAGCTCGTCTTTCAGCACCGACCCACATATTTAAGTAGTTACACATAAGAGTGAGGAACCATAACAATTACTCTTATGGGCAGATGTTTTCGCTAAATGATTTAATGCGTGTCGAAATACATCTACACTCTTCTTTGAACTGTGTTGTACTCAGTTTGTGTCAGGCCAACCGCAACATGATATATGTGGATAAAATAGCAGGAATCACAGCCATTTGCAAAGTTAAAGGTACAACTTTAAAAGTATTCAGAAGTAGTTCTAGAGCCATTTTTCACGCCGCCGTTGAGCGGAAGTTGTGAAATTTCAATTTACTCTCAAAATAAACCATGTAATAAATGTGTATGTTAAGCAAAAATATAACGTAGATCATTATAATTTTTTATCATTTTTAAGTATGATTATCTGGTTTTAGGTACGTGTCTAACCAAACGATATAAATTTCTTTATTGACAAGAAAGCAGCCTCAATAAGCCCCTAAATTACTAAACACACACTAATATAAAGTTTATGTTTTTTAGCTTTACATAATGTTAGAATGTTATTTCCTTATTAAAATATACTTGGAGTGTTGCCTTTATTCTTTTATGCATGTTTGAGAAATACTTTAATCTCCAGTGGCAACCACTGAGCTGTGCAAAACGCCTGGGTGGACCGAACTCTGTCTCGGAGCTCCTTCAGACTAGCCAGCAGCAATTAGCAAACAGCTGGTGGAACTGAGCTCACACTTCTCAGTTAGTAGCAGGTGAAAATTTGTTAAAGGGTTGATAGGGGAGCACTGTTGTGGTGACTTCCTGAAGGCGGAGTTTCAGAAAGAGCAGGAGTTTTTAGAGACAGAGCATTTTCATAACAACTGAAAGTAATAGTTACTTAAAAAGCTACTGTGCCCAGAAAATACACAATACCACCCCTTTAAAGTTGTTGAAAGCCTATCCAGACTAGTTCAAGGATAATGATAAGTTGTTCATCAAGTTATATTTTGTCTGTAAAAGAAAAATACAGAAAAAATGGGAAAACGTATAAAGAATAAAAAAGCATTTCAGTTTGAACCTGTAGACAACCTCACGTTTCTTTGTTCCAGGCACCGTGCACTTGCTTCAGGGTGATGAACTGGAAATGCTGATCCCTTTTCGACCGCCGGCTCTGATCTCTCTGGAGGCTGACTCGACCTTTTTTGGTGTCGTACAGCTAAACTGAAACAAGTCCACATAAATGAACGGCGTTACTGCAGGAAGTGGGGAAACTGCCACAGGGCTGTGTGAAAGGATGCAGATAAACAACTATCAGCAACAGGAAAACATCTGTTAAAGACATGCATACAAAGCTGGACATTTAATTTGAACACATTTATAATATTGGGAAAATAAAACTGACATTAAGAAGAATTTTTTTCTAACCAAATCAAATGAATTGTGGAAGGATGGCGCTTATGCAGAAAGAAGGATTTTTGACCATTTTTGATCACCCAATCCTGAGTCTTCTCTCAGCTCTCCCCACTAGTTACCCACAGATTAACTGGGAGGAATGGGGGATTGTTGATTTGTGTCCAATCAACAATTTCTGTGTTGATTTTGGCATAAATTTGAGATAGCTTTGCCATCTTTATTTCAAGAAACACATTAGGCTACAACAGATCCTTCGCACTTAACAGTAGGAATGTTTTAGAGAGTTTTTGTTTCACCTTCCTCACCTTTGTGCTCGCTGCGTGTTGCGGCACAATAAATGTGGCTTAAAGAAACGAGCCTTTGTGAAGTTGTAATTATACCCCACAGAAACACAAACCTCCTGGATAAGTAAAAAAAAAAAACTTCAGCATAAAAGAAAACCTAATTTGAATTCTTTATCCTTAAAAATGTATATTTTAAAACTTTTTCCCCCTGTGTGGTTGTCTGCTGCTGCTCTTTTTTTTGTCCCACCAGGATCTTTCATCACTCTATTTTAAAGTGTCTCTTTATACCTCGCCGGTCCCTCCTGCTCCACCAACGCGTTGTCTGTTTATTTGTTCCTCTCCTCTATTTTAGGACTGATTTCCGCTTTCCTCAGACTTTGGCAGGAACAAACAGATGTATAAATTTATATCACTTTGTAAAGGCTTTGCTTGGTTGAAATGAAGCTGCACAAGGCAATGTAAGTGCTACAATGTCTTTAATCAATTAAAAATGCCTAAATAATTCAAGCCTATGCAGGTGTCGTAATTGTTAACCTTTTTACAGCTCTTTTTGTTTTCCCTAACTTGCAAGAAACTAAAACAAAAAATATGAGCATATGTGCTGGAAATCCATTTATATATTCTAAATTAAAGGAGATCTGTTTGCTTCATAAAAAGAGACAGATAATCAGTAGCCTCTGTCTAAAAATAGAAACCACGTTGTCTGTATCTATTGTCCACAGCTGTTTACTCTGTTGCTTTTTTTGTGAAGCATGGGCTATAAGAGGTGGTGTGTATGAGCTCTGAACACAGCAGGGGTACAGTACAGCAGAGCAGACACAATGGTTAGACATACGTTCTCTAATCTCGTACTTCTTTGGTCAATTACCCATGGCTTTTACGGACCTGGAGGGACTCATCATGCTTCAAAGGTAGGCTCAACGGCAAATTCTTAAAAGAGGTCCGTTTAGGCCCGAGTTGTCTTGGGATGTGTGGTTTATTTTAACCATGATTAATGTTCATTTCATTTCAAGAATCAGTCCTGGAACAATCAGAACCTCTCCTCTGTCCCCTTGGATCTGGATGTAAGGCTCCGAAGGCTCGACCTGTCAAATAACTTCATCACACAGTTACATGCGTTTGCTCTGCCGTGCTTGGAGGAGCTTGACCTGAGCGGCAACCAGATGGACCTTATCTCCGAGGCGGCTTTTGGAAACCTGGCCCGGCTTGAACATTTGAATTTGTCCAGGAATCGACTGAGCGTCAGCCTTGGCAGCAACAGCAAAGCTCTCAGATCCCTCGGCGGACTCAGGAGCTTGGATATATCAATGAACGGCTTGAGCAATGGCGCTGCTGAGCTATTGCTGAGAAACAAGTCTTCCCTTGATCAACTTAAGATGACTGGTAATGTTTTAATAAAACTGTCGCCAAGCCTGTTTGGAGAGAGCAGAAGTATAAGGAGTCTAATTATTGAGGATAATCTGATATCAGAAATAGCACCGCAGACGTTTGAACCACTAAGCCGATTAGAATCTCTCAACTTGGCGAGAAACAATCTTGCATTTATCTGTGATTTTACGTTGCACCAGGTGAAATATCTGAATCTGAGCAGAAATTCAGTGGAGTTCTTTGTTACTCCAGAGGATGCTGTGTTGTACAGTCTTGAAGTTCTTGACCTCAGTCACAACAAGCTGTTATACTTCCCAGTTCTACCAAAAATGAACCGACTAAAGTATCTGCATTTGCAGAACAATTTGCTTGGTGCTCTGGATTCGGAGGCTGTGATGGTAACTGAAGTAAACTCTCTTTATCAGGACGCTGTAAATGAGACGACACTTCAAAAGAATTATTTTCATGCAAACTGGAGGCTGATGCCGCTGGTTTACATTGACCTGAGCTTTAATCGCTTTGCCTCTTTTCCTCTTGAAACGTTGAGCTTGCTTAACTCTTTAGAAACGCTCAATTTTAGCCACAACTGTTTGCAAAACATAAACTGGGATGTTAGAAATTATAGTGACCCGAGGCAAGTTCGTCAGATAATTTTCCATTCCTTAAAGCACCTCGACTTGCAGGGCAACGGCCTGACCCGTCTGCCCCTGCTCTTCCTCAAGGCGCTCACACAAATCGAAACACTGAATCTACAAGACAATTCATTGCAACCGTGTGGCATGTTGAGTGGGTCTTTGCCAAAAGATCGAATAGATTTTGATCATTTCTGCACTGCGTTTGGGAAGCTGAAGACTCTTAAACACCTCAATCTTGGAGAAAATAACATAAAAATACTTCCGCCAAACGCCTTTCAGGGGACCTCACTCGTTTCCTTAAATCTTGCCAGAAACCTCCACATGCTGATACATGAGATGGCACTGGAAGGTGTGCAAACGACTTTACAGTCCCTGATAGTCAGTGGGATAAACATAAACAGCTCAGGTCTGTCTTTACCCTGCATGCCTGCACTGACTGAGATCAACATATCAAACAACAAACTTAATGCAACACCCAGCAGCTTAGGGTGCTCTCCTCTTAAAGTAATCGATGTGAGAAACAATGACTTTACGACTCTAAACTATTCTTTGGTTGAGGTTGTATCCACAAATCTGACTACAGTGTATATTAGCGGCAACCGTTTCAACTGCTGTGACAGCAGATGGTTGACAGTCTTGAATGACATGAGGGTTGAGCTGCCTGACATTAGCCAGGCCGAATGCTTTACGCAAGTGAGGAACTTGACGATGTCAGAATACCTAAAAAGTCCTTTGTTTTACTGTTCCTTTGAAAGAGATGGGCAGGGAGTTCGTTTTGGAGGAATGGTCATAACATTGTTATTTGTGACTGTATTATCATTAGTGCTCATTTTTTTTGGCAGGAAGCTTTGTTGCACTCCAAAATCTTCTGTGGTGTGACATTTACAAAGTCTGCACCGTGTAAAGCTCCAGCTAAATGTTTAAATGCTGCTCTTTTTACCACGTGGAATGATGATGGAACATCCCTGAAATTGTTTGTTGTTGCTTATATAAGTAGGTATGGTTTTTAGTTTTAATCAAAGTTTAAAATGACAGTAATGTCTTTGATGAGTGCATGTTAACCTCTGGCCAGAACTTTACGGTTAAAGTCGGCAATCAACACTCAAAGGCAAACTGGACAACATATCAGCTTTCCTGATAACTCCTGGGAGTTTCACTTTGCTTGACTCAGAAAAGTGTCTGCGAAAACAATTGTCTTCTTTTGACCTAAAGGAAGCAAAATTTCCTGTATAAGTTGGCACATGTGAAGCTTTCTGCACATCTTTACAAAACATGTCACTTCACATCACAAACTCAGTGCAAAAGTTGTGATTTGAATCAACACCAAGGCTCCCAAGTTGTATTGACTACAGAGGGACAGATCCGCTGCCCGAACTTTGTGAAACATTTGTTAGCATATCAAACTGCAGCTTGAGCTGAAATACTTTGGATATGAAGCCTTCCACAAGATTCCCAGAATAAAGAACGGAGAAATCCAAGCAAGAATCATCAAAAGTAACACTCTCAGCATGAACCCCTGAGAAAATGATATACGGTTCTCTTCAAACATCAAACATCAATCTGAGTTTTGTAACAGACGTGGATTTAACCCTGGAAGATGTCATTCTGCATCAGTCTTGCTGCACTTAATAAATATGCTATACTTAATTACCACAATATGTTGGCAGTCTTTATTTAAGAGTCTGAATCTTCTGCTTTAATACCTACAGATAAATCATACGAAGTTGGAAGTGGATCAGTTTCCCTTTCTGTGAATTTCAGCTTCTATTTTGTTGTTTTTGTTTTTTTTAGCCCAGCAGATGTTCTTCCTGTGAACCATAAAATACAGTAGCGTTAAAAAAAAGAACAGTTGTGTTCAAACGCAAAGCTTTTGTGCACTAAAATAAATACAACATAATAAATTACTTTAAAAAATAGTTTCCACCTTTTATATGGCTTATGTCCTGTACACTTAAGCCAAAACAAGAATAAAGGAAATCTGTTAGCTTGGAAAATGTAAAGACCTGCTTGCATAACTTTGCACACACTTAAGCATATTCTGCTGAAGCACTATTTAATGAATTTATAGCATTCATTCATCTTGTGTTCACACATATTATTTTTAGATAATTGAATTAGCATAAATAAAATTCAGCTGTGCTAGTGGTGTTCTCCTGACTTTTTCTTGGCTGGAATTTTAAAGCTTTGACAGAGGTTGCAAAGAATCAGACGAATCATAGTCTAAAGGTATCAACCAGGAAAAAGAAGAACCTCCTCAAAAGAATACAAAACCTGTTCTGAAACCTAATGGGCACAGTTTCATGTTCTTGGATTATGTGAAACTTTTTTTTTTTTTTTTTATGTCAAGAAAGATGAACATTGTCAAATATCCATCAGATTAAGCTCAACAACATGAAGAGGAACTTTATTGTCCATCATCACATTGATTTTAAATATACATCCAAGTCAACATAAAAATGGCTCTTTCTGTGAAGAAAACTAAAGCTTTAGAACAAAGTAGAGTCCAGTACTAAACTGACCATAAATAAATCTTTGTGGTAATGTGGACAGACGTGTCGAAAGGTGTCCTCGCTGGAACTGGAAAACATTATTAGTTTCCAGAGAAGGCAGATTTTGCCAAGTCAAGATCTGGCATGCTGGCCTGGCAGAGCCCTTTCAAAGAAAATGTCCTACTAGAAGTAAACCAAAAGGTGCTTAAACAAAGTAATTATGTCAGTAATCTTAAGCAACTTATTTTCTTTGGGTCTTTCTCCAAAGAAAAGGCTTTTTCTTCTCATTTTAATAGTGGAGGATTTGTGTCAGATTAACAGAGCTTTAATCAATAATTTAAGATAAATTATTTATTGTGGTCTTATTTTTTTTTTTCCATCATTCAAAACCTGCCATTTTAACAGGGGTGTGCCTACTTTTGTGAATCACTTGGGTGTTACCGGAATTTGTCATTGTCACTTGAACCGTATCATATTTACTCAACTAAGAGCCCATTATTCAACTTTAATTATATACTACCGAAGCATAAACAATGGAGTTTACTAGTGTTGCAGGACATTTTGTCTTCACCTCTTCCCCTGCTAACACTGTCCTTTCAAATGGTGTAAATCACCAATATAACTTTTTTCTTTTTTGTGCCCTTTGAATTTTATCTACCTCTAGTGCTGAGTCACTGACTCCAGCAGGAGCATCAGAATAGCCAGAGTGCTTATCACTCAGGTCTTGAGCCACATAACAGCCCCACCCCACAAGTTTTCTAGATCAAGTAGCAGCTTGACAAGTTTGAGCAAAGAGGACTCCGAGAACACAATGCGGAGTGCATGTAAGGTGTGAAACCAAAGGAATGCAAGTGGTAAATTACATTCATTCTTCTTGGTGGTTGTAGTAGCATGGCATTTGGAAATGCTGCAGCTTTTTTAGTAGCACATGAGAGCAAGCAAGTGAAACCTAGAATCACAACTAAACTGCTTATTGCAGAAAAAAAATGTCAATACAAATCTGCAACTTATTTATCCAGTAAACACTTTATTAATGAAATACTTCACATTTTATTTACTTTTTTTTTTTGTATTTGTATTTGTACGCTTCTGAGAGAATCCAAGCAGGTGAGTGGAGAAAGTCTACACACAAAATGCCAGAGATAAATGCAACACTGACCTAAGCCCTTTTCACACATTGGCTCCATCTTATCAGCGCGAAAAATATGGCCTTGTGAAGCCATATGTTTTTGTGTTAGTGTTGGATCAACTTCCAACTCCCCATTTCATTGGCGTCGTTTCACACATGACAGAGATTCAGTAAGAAGGTGTCTCGGGCTGGGTTGAAAGCCTCGTGAGGAGAAAGCTTCAGATATAGGCGTGGAGGGGCTGGGATGATATGCTTCATAAGGCTGAACACTCACTAGAGTGAGGAAGGGCTCCCTCGGAGGGCTGAAGCAAGGGATAAGTCCTCCATTTATCACCACCTTTATCCAGGGCACCGCTGAGAGCAACCTGACAGGCTGCATTACATCTTGGTATGGCAAATGCAGAGCAACTGACAGGAACACTCTGCATCCTGGTGGGGTGAGAGTGGCTCGGGAGGTCACCGCTTTAGCCAATCTCTGCAGATACATTTTTAAGGAGGGATGGAAGAAGAAAGCCCTACTAGGCAGATTCAGCTCCTATTGTCTTTTCAAGCTACTTCCAGGATGAGTTACAAATGACCAGAATACAAAACAACAGCGTTCTCTGGACTATATAGTTGCTCAGGCCCAGTAACACTCAGAAAAGAAAAATGTACATTAATTTCAAAATAGATCTTATAAATAAAACTGTATCTAATTATCTGACTTAGCAGGAAATTTTGACAAACAATAATAATCGCAGACTTCAATGCCTTTACTTGTTTCTATATTACACATATGTCATGTTTTAAATGACGACATGCAAAACATGCCGCCATATCATGTTTTAAGTTGCAAGGTCAAACCAACCGCGTTCTGAGTCAGTCACGTGGTACAGCCACCTTGCGAGCCTCGTCCACCAAACACTTCCGGAGCCACAAGCCTTCGTAAAAATCCTTCTGGATTACTCGTCACAAACTTGGTCCATCAAAACTCGTCAGAAAAACCAACAGCACTCCGAACTTTGTTGCTCGTGGTTTAAGTGGAACTAAAACTCCTCAAGACAGAGAGTGGACACCAGCAGGCATCATGGCGAACACCGAGTTATCCGGCCAAAAACCAACGGCTGCTGCTGACAACTGAGAGGAGGATTACTTTAGGGAAATGAGCGACAAACCAGCGTGGTCAACCGGCAGACATTCAGAGGGACTACTGTGGTGTGGTAACAGTTCGCACCACGGAGGAAATTGTAGTTTTATACTCGGAACAATATTTTTGTTCTAATTTGGCAAATTACTCAAGGAAAGAACGTAACAGCTAGTTGAACCTCTGTGCGCACACGTAGGAAAATAACGAAGAAAAGAGGCAGGGTCAGCATGGCTACCCAGCAGATTGCTGTCTACCAGGAACCGCACACGTCCAGAATCATCCAGAAAGCGCAGTTAACCTACAAACTGTACTTGCTGGAAAAGGCTCGAAATAAGCTGGAGGAAGAACTTCGGGACTTCACTAACCAGGTATTGTTAACTACAGGGATGAAAAGAGCCGCGACACTCACAAATCACCTTGGTGTTAGCTAAACAATTGTACTTAATGTTGTCGGCTATGTTAATGCTTTAAGAAAACTATTGAAGTCAGAATGGGGACATAATAATCAAATAAATACGACATAGATAATGGCACTTAAAAAACTTCACTTAACAAAATTAATAACTGTTTAAATACAATGTGATTTTCTGGATTTAGATTTTTTTTAATTTTCTCATAGTTAATGTGTATTTCGGATGAAAAATACAGACCTTTTCATTCTTTTTAGGTGGGAAAATTAGAAAAAATCATCAGTGTAGGTTTTTTGTTTTGTTATTAAAATCATGACAGAGATTGTACTGTAAAAGTTGGGATATTAAATTATTGCTGTATCACCTCGTCCTTGTATGAAAGAAAAAAAAAACAGAAGTACAAAAATGCCTCCATCTCCTGTAGAGATGTGGGGAGCCATCTAAATAGAAAATGTATTTAAATATGGTCTTTCTCATTTAATACAAGTAGAACAGCTAAATAATTTGGCAAATGTTAACTTTTTTTTTTGAATATTTCTAGAAGAAATTTGAAAGACTACATGTTTTTATGATCAGTTACTAAGAACATAAAATTAACATCTGGCAATATTTTTATTTTGTGCCTTCAAGGCCAGCCAATGTCACTGGTATTTCCCATTTCTGCTGCAAAATATACACAAACCCAGACAAGTTATGGTCTTCCTTCAGTGTGATGGAACCCTTTAAACTAAAAAAAGATCCCAGCAAACAAATTAATCCATTTTTGCTTCTTAGTTTGATCCAAGATGGAGAGATTTATGAGCAGCTGAGTTGAAAGAGTGCACTTTGTTTTCCACTTTTTTTTTTTTTTTGCTTTAGGTCTGTTTGTTTTGATACGATTTATGACTGGTGCTCAGTGTTTTCCTAACAGTATCAGTTAATTCCCAGAACTTTTTTTAATCTTTTATGTTTCTTCTTTTCAGCTCATAAGACAAACCTATTGCCTTTTTCTTCCCCCTCTGATAAACCACTGTGTCCTATCCACCAGGCCTATGAAGATGCACATGGTGTCCTCAACTCATCTATCCCAAACCTTTGGTTCAAAGATGTCATAAAGGCTCTGGACAGAAAGTGCAATGAAATTTGGAAGCTCTTGGCTTTGTTAAAGAATCACAAAGCTGGTAAGTCAAATAAATCAAATCATTCAGTTCTTTTGAAGGTTGAAGTGAAGGAAATCCTCTCAGGCTTTGAAGAATACAATCTTTTCTTGTTTCCTCTATGTTCACAGACTACCAATCATTTGATAGGGTGAGCTTCAACTACTTTCAGCCACTCAAAGCCGTTCTGTCCCATCAGCAGTTTAAAGTTTCCCTCGATTCCCTGCGCCCTTTAAGCCAGCAAGATGGTGGCAAGTCATCAGACTTGGTCAACGTTCCTCTGACTCCAAGCTCCTCCCGTTTAAAGCCGGAAAAGGAAAAGGCTGCGTCTGAAGATAAAAACAAAGAAGTCTCCATGCACATCCCAGCTGCCATTATTCAGAGCAACGTGGTGAGTGAGGGGAAGTCAGAAGTCCTACTACCTCCTATCCAAGACGCATTCTCAGAGAAGTCTCAGTGCAACCTGAAGTCTCAAGTAATCTGGGGTCATGGCGATGACGTCGAGGTGCTGCACCAAAAGCAAACTTCCTCCCAACTGCTGCGCTTTCTCAAAGAGAAAGCTAAAACCAAGGGTTCACTCAAGGTCACTTGTTTGGAGCAGACTAAAAGCAAATACAAGGCAAACAATTCAGGGTCTCTCCTGCGGTCGTCGCCTACCGTCAAAACAAAAGGCTATCAATTCAGACATGTTGTGACAGACGACTCAGTAGACGAGCGGGGACCTAAAACGTTGCACGCAAACGTTAACCAGGCTCCGGTTTTCCAAGTGAAAAGAGTCCACTCCTGCGGATCTTTGATCTACAGTTGCGTCATTGCCACGGAAACTGAATTGTGGGACATAGGCGATATCTTCACAGAGGTCTTGCTGGAGGAATCTGTTCATAGCACTGCTTTGGATACTGAGAAATGGCAACAAGCACTTGCTCAGGTGGAGAATTCTAGCATCGGTATAGAATTAAAACCCCAAACCCCGCAGCACACGCAAACCCGACTCGAAAAAAGCGACTCGGATCATCCAGGTCGCCTGGCAACTAGTACCGTAAACATTCCCGAATTTGAGATCCGGAAGTTTGAAGAGACCGAAGTGGTGGTGTCTCATGTTGTCAGCCCCAGCCACTTCTACATTCAGCATGCAGACTCCCATAGGAAACTGGAGGCTCTTTTTACAGAGTAAGTCATTTGTTCAGTCATAAGTCACAACTTATATTGTTATGTTGTGTTTTGATGTACAGCACTTTGTATCAGCTGTGGTTGTTTTAAAGTGCTTTATAAATAAAGTTGGTATGGTATGGTACGTCATGTTTACACGTTACATACACTTTCACCTTATCGTTTTTGATTCTTGGCGTGCTCTTCCTCATGTAATTGTGTCTTGTTTTTGGTTTGCAGCCTTAAAGTCGGTCAGTTATACGCCGAGCAGAACTGCATCCCAGACATCGGAGCTCAGGTCGTCTACTGGTCTCCGCAAAGCGAACAGTGGTTCAGGGCTCAGGTGGCTGGGATTTCTGGAGTGAGCAGCAGTGAGTCTAGTTGAATGTGAAGTGGTTTTACAAAGACTTGCCTCTAGATGGTAGCAGTGTCACTCAGACAGACTGTCGCCTCTTGGGAATTTCAGACTAACCTGTTCTGTCTTGGATGCTATAGATGGGACTGGGAAGAAGTCATCCATAAACGTGGAGGTGAACAGGTTGGACTACGGTGACGGCTCCTGTGTGTCACTCTGCAATATTAAGCAGCTCTCCCCAGAAATGGCGGTGCTTCCACTTCAGGCTCTGCAGGTCTCTATGGCAGATGTGAGTGGTCCAATACTCCAAACCCAGCAGCTTTCTCTTGGGGTTCACCCAGCTACATCACTTTCTGGAACTAATGTCTGCAGCTTGTATTCATGGGAAAAGTTAACCAACAGCTCTGTAACAAAGAAAGGCTAATTATGTCCTTTACTTAGTCACAGCTTTATCTGTTGCCTCATAATGAAGGAAATTCACTCAGCTCACGGTACTTATTCTGCTTCCTCCCCTTCAGGTGATGCCCATTAATGGCACAGACTGGACTGAGGAGGCGGTGGGTTGGTTCAAAGCAATAGTACATGACAGGATGCTGTATGCCAGACTGTATCCACAGGGGCCCACGGTTACAGTTGAGCTGTTCCTGGAAAAGGGCAAACTTGGAGCTATGAGGTACTTTATGATAAACCAGTCATTAATTAGAGAATTAAGGAAGTGCCCTAATTCTTTTCTATTTAAGCAAGCCTATTCTACCTCCACATGATTTTTATGATGCTGATTTTATCAATGATTTTAGTTGTACTGTGTAGCACTTTGAGATTTTTGATAATGAAAAGTGTGGTGCAAATTAAATTGATTATTATTATTAAATGCCATCAGTTTGTCATTAGGGGGATAAAGTAGTGGTTTTAAATTGGGGAGCCAGATAGAAGTGGTGGATTAAATTACAAGGTAAGTCCAAGTCATCTGGAACGTATAGTGGCTGTGTACAGTGCCTTCAAAAGTAGTCATGGTCCTTCACATTTTTCCTTTGGTCATGTTGTAAACACAAACTTGTGTTTTCTGGGGCATTTTTTATGTGTTATACCAACACAAAGAAGTGCATAAAGCACAAAGGTGTATAATTGGCTAAATAAAACCTTAACATGAAAATAGTAATACCCCTTAATAAAGCAGGTAGTGGACATTTCCAAATTACTGGCCTGTTTCTTTATCTCAGTTCTCCAAGAAGAGAATCTTTACAGGTAGATTAGATGATTAATTGAGAAACGTTTTTTCTTGAAAATCAAAGCTGTATCAGAAAAATATCCACATTTCCAGCATTATTGGTATTGGTTAAAGAAATCTCAAAACGCTACAATTAAAAAAAAAAAAAGCAGTATGTATACTTATGAACTTAAAGTATTTATACGGTTGATAGTTCCCGATTTACATGGTATTGCATCAGTGGTCGGACTGAACATGGCACTAAGTTACCATAAAAAAAACTGTTAATTAGCACAAATGGGTGAAAATAACATCCAAAACAGTCTCAAAGAGACTGAAATTTATATTACTTGCAAATGATACCAATATTTTGTTTTCTGTGTAGTGACTAGTGTAGAGTTAAATGAGAATAACATCAGAAATGAGTAAATAAAGTTGAACAGTGGCTTGGTATGAATAAACTATTGACTTAAGTAAAAAAAAACAAAAACTGAAATAATGAAAATAAGAAAATGGAACAAATAAAAGTAATTGTAATATGTACTGAACAGGCATATTAATATAAATTATAAATGTATAGGTGTTGCACCATAAGATCTGCTGAATAATGCACAAGCAAAAAAAAAGAAAAGGAAATGGTAATGCAGCGTTACAGTGAAACAGTCAATGTACTGAACCAGGAATCCCCAAACATAGCACACGGCTCCATGGTGTCATCATACACCATTGATAATTACCGTAGGGAGATCTCAGAAAAGTCATACAAATGCACTTTATGGTGCCGTGGTTTCGATCGCAGCACCGACATGTTAGAAAAGCCTAATTAATGCCCAGAACTAAATCCAGTTAAGAATCTGAATCATCACCGATGATCTGTCCAGTCAGGTTGAGTTTAACTTGAGAAAAATGGACAGAATTCGCCTTGTTTTTTTTCCGAAGCAGGTAGAGACGCCACTTAAATGAGTTGGAACTAACAGCATGAAAGTGGTTTTTACAAAGGATTCACACTGCATACAAATGCATAACACTTTTATCAGATTTTTAGAATTTTAAAATATTACTTGCGCATTGCTCTGTTGATCAGTCCCATAAAAAAATCTACTGAATATGTTTCATTTTCTTGTTGCAAAGTGATATTTATGCAAGTCACTGTAAATATGTGAAAACGCCAGCAAGTCTGTGTTTTTTAGGAGGGGTGCATCTCTGTCTTTGAGATTAGCCCAAAATGGACATGCGAGGCACAGCAAAGTGAAGAACAATTGTCTTCTGAAAAAGAGTAAGTAGAGCAAGTGAATCTCCTCCCAGTTGTGTTGCTCGCATTGCTTACAATTCTTATTTTTGTCACCTTTTTGATTTTTGTGTGCAGGTGCTATTCAACGTAAAATGAAGGAACAAGAATCTGAATGGGAAAAATATCTCATCTCATGCTACTCTCAAAATAAAAAATGAACCGTGTGAGCCGACACTGAAGGAGATTGTAAGCTGGTGTGAGAACGTTTGCCATGTAGTGAAAGAAGCTTTTAATGTACGCAATCTGTAGCTCTGAAGTATTGACTGATTTGCAGTGTGTGAATATATACAGTGGATTCAAAATGGGTTTCAAAAGCCTTTTAACTTGGAGAACTCACTCTGGGTTCAGTTTTTGATCTGTGCATCGCCTTCCCAAAGCGAGTGTTCATTATGTGTGTAATTTTTATACAAACTGCAGTGATTGAATTAATATATATTTTTATTTTAAATAATTCTGAGTAGAAACTTCCCTTTTTTTTTTTTTTTTTTGACTGGACTTACTGTAGAACTACATTCTTTGCAAGTTTGCCTTTAAATTGAGTATTTTGTTTTTATTTACATTTTTTTTGTTTTGTTTACAACGAATTTCAGTGAACACATTGTGAAAGTATGTGAAAATTTACTTTAAGCGTATATTGCTACTGTCAGTTAGCCTCCTCAATAAACAAATCGACCAGCAAACCCAGCTGGGTTTCAGACTTGGAACTGGACCTTTATGAAGTTTCAACTTCAGAAGTCTCTAGAAAATAGCATAAATTGGTTCGCTACATTATAATTGATAGGTTTGTACTTAAACGTGCTAATAGTTTTTGCTTTACAATTATATCCAAGTGCCATTAAAAGCCAGACCAGCACTACTGTACTGTATTGGTACCTCCACAGAGAAACACTGACCTACATAAAAGGACCTGATTTCTTCCCTCAGCATCTTGTTCTATTCTTTTTGCTGCTCCTTTAAAGTTTTTAATGTATGCAACTCATATTCTCACAGACTGAGATTTTGTGTAAAAAAAAAACAAAAACATATGTGATATTTAGGTTTAAGGAGGGACATAAGGTGCATGATTAAGTAGTCCCTCTGGAGAGTGTCTGAACTGATGGTGCACCTGGATTCTCTGTATTATAAAATTCTACTTGACTTGTCTGTACATCAGATTAGTTTTATTTCTTAAATTCATTTCAAAGTTCCCTGCTTAAGATCAAAAAGCCACATTGGTTTCATGTCCAATTGCATGTCGATTTCCATGTGTGTTCCTGCTTTTGAAATAAAGTTACTATCATTGGCACCGTTTGTGCTTCTCGTCTCCCGTCAGTGGATTGAATGCAAATGAGTTTTTCCGAGTTCATTCAAAGAATCGGCTTCTCCACGCACACCCTCCCACTTGCCCTGTCAGAAGTGACGCAGAAATGGCACAGTGTACTGCTGTAGATTATTTGAATGTATGCGAGATGACAAACGGGCATTGTTTTCCCGCTGGAGTTCAGTTTGTTCCTCTGAATCGTTAATTTTATTTTATTTTTTTCTTCTTGACTTACGAGAACCAACTGTAAGGAATCGCTTCGTGGAGCCATAAAAGTTTCCAGGTGGGTTTAAGAGCCCGAGCAGCGAGTGATTCATCTCGTTTCACTTTCAATTCATGTGCAGCAGAGACTCTTTCATAGACTGCACAAACTGTGCTGTTGTAAATTACTGATAATTTGTTATAATTTAAGCGGGCTAAGAGTCAGGCCAGGGTTTCTGCCAGGATGTTTTGAAAACAATTCAGGAATGGCACTGAACTGTGTAACGCATTAAAAGGAATGTGCTGGAACAGTTGAGAGGATCATCACATTATTTATCCATCGATTATCTGAACAGTCATGCTTTTTGTAAACTGCCAACCTGACTCTCCGCAGCAGTGGCCCAGGTCAAAAGCTTCCTTCACGTCACTGAACCGCCAAGCACAATAAATAATGTGGCGAAGCTGAGGCCTTTTGTGTCCACACAGATTCCTTCTTTTGCCCCGGGGTGGGCGGAAATCGAGGCGTTTGATCTGAATTCTAAAGAGTCTTGTTGCAGCCTGATAAAGGCCACCATTGTATGTAAATAGTTTATATAAGAGCATATGACTGCTACGGTGCAGGGCAGCGGCTAGTGGCGGAGGGATGATTTGCATTTTCCAAACGCACTGTGTTTTCATTCCAGCCTTTTGGCTTGCTGAAAAACAAAATATTTTATTAATTTTCTTCCCATTTTGTACACATCTTTGTGTACCACCACAGCTGAAGGTAAAATACACACTCTGGTTTTAATTTTGTATGGACTAACATCAATTGAGAATGGAGAAAGGATTCGATGTAGCTGATGTGCTCCTAACATCCAACTAGAAAGTATCCTAACAGATCATTCAGGAGAAGTATTTGTGTGGCATATTCTTCGTATTGTTTGAAAGGAAATTATCGTATTTTTGCCGTTAGACAATGGCTTTCTGGCTCCTTGGAGGAATTACAGCTGTCCTTCTGTCAGTCTGTCTGTCTGTGAATGAGTGGTTGGCGAGTTTTGGAGTACAGTATTAATATGGGGTCAGCAAGCCACGTGACTCAGCAAAAGTTTTGCAATTGGCTTCGATTTCTTGCGTCTTGTGATGGTGCTTTGTGTTAGGCCATCGCCCCTGCTTTTATAGAGCCGGCAGGGCCACTTTGGCATTTCTTGTCAGCTGTGTCCGACGAGTCCAGCTTGATGTTCCTGTCAAGCCTCAGGATGGTCATCTTTGGCCCCGGTGCTGCTTACGCCGCTTGCACAGCCGGATGAGCCTGGTAAGGCTTAATACTGGATTCTTGCAGCAGTTTGCTTTGATTTAATCAAGATTGTCAGAGAAGGAGGGTGGTTAGGAGACCAACTACTGGCAGTGTGCTGGAAAGACTTAGTTTGTCTTTTGTTTTGTTTTATTTTTCTTGAGGGGCTTTTAAAGAATTGATTGCATTCCTTTTATTTGCAGTGTAATTAAATAACTACTCTACCTTGACCTTTCTGCAGACCTGGAGTCGAAGATGAACTGGGGAACCTTTTATGCCGTGATCAGCGGTGTAAACAGGCATTCCACCGGCATCGGACGCATTTGGCTCTCCGTCATCTTCATCTTCCGCATCCTGGTGCTGGTGGTTGCCGCCGAGAGTGTTTGGGGCGATGAGAAGTCCGGCTTCACCTGCAACACCCAGCAGCCCGGCTGCAACAGCGTCTGCTACGACCAGTTCTTCCCAATCTCACACATCCGGCTGTGGGCTCTCCAGCTCATCCTGGTGTCCACCCCGGCGCTGCTGGTAGCCATGCATGTGGCCCACAGGCGACATGTCGACAAGAAGGCCCTGAAAAAGTCGGGCCGCGGCAGCCCCAAGGAGCTGGAGCACATCAAGAACCAGAAGTTTGAGATCACAGGAGCTCTTTGGTGGACATACATGATCAGCATCGTCTTCAGACTCATCTTTGAGGTGGCGTTCCTCTACGTCTTCTACTTGATCTATCCTGACTTTAAAATGGTGCGACTGGTGAAATGTGACTCGTACCCTTGCCCCAACACGGTGGACTGCTTCGTCTCCAGACCAACAGAAAAGACGATATTCACAGTGTTCATGTTGACCGTGTCCGGAGTGTGTGTGCTGCTCAACCTGGCCGAGGTGATTTACCTCATTGCGAGGGCCTGCAAACGGTGCCTGAATCGCCCCGAGGATGAGGCCAAAGCAGCTTGGATAACTCAAAGGTTGTCTTCATACAGACAAAATGAAATCAATCAGCTGATAGCAGATCATTCGCTCAAGTCGAAGCTAACTGTGACCAAAAAGAGCCCGACCGAAAAGGGCGAGAGGTGTTCTGCCTTCTGAAGTTTTGTGAAACTAATAAATCATGCCTGTAATATGGTATTTTCTGCATTAACGACACCTTAACTGTATATTTCTTTATTTTACTGTTTATATATACATATATATATATATATATATGCATAATAAAATCATTTACTTGTTTCTTTTTTATATTCACTTAACTGTGATGCTTTTTCTTGCCTAAATCATCTCCAGCATATTAAGACGTAGCAATGATTTCTTACAAATCCGACACCACAATGCGTTAGGTTGTGGCGCTCTGTGTCTCTCACTTGTTCCCACACGAGTTGACACTGTGGGAAACCTGACTGATTTAAGAAAACCATAAGAATTTGTTTCGTTCACGGCTGCATATTTGTTGCATGACGGAGCATTATAAGCAGGATGCATTTGATGGGCTCTTGCAGGTGCAGTTGGTCCAGGCTCTCAAAGCTTCCAGTTTACTGCCAGCATAGTTGTGTATATATGAGCTGTGAAATAGAGGGACTTCTTCCAGAACACAAAAATCTGGTAAAAAGTAGATGCTGTGGAACATTTACATTGTAAATGTATCACTTTGGAAGCCAGTCCTCGATCAGTTTGCACATGAGGGTATAGTACAGCAGACTCTGTAATATTTTACTTTTTTTTTTTTTGACACTTGTAAGGTTACAAAACTACAACTAAAAAGTTCTAAATAAGGATGAACATCACTAGAGCAATCATAAGCCAGATGAGGAAATATGCTTTTATTTGTAATATTTATTGATGCCTTTATATAATCTGGTGCAAGTGTTCGGAGACAAGGCTGTTTACTCTCAATGAAAATGTCTAACTTTGTGTAGAAGCAGCTGCATACCTTAGATTGTGTTTAAAAAAGAAACAACTAATTATTGCTAAAAATTCAGGTGGGGTGTAGTCTCGGTCAGACTCGTATAACAAAAAAAATATGATATAAAAAGCTCGAAAATGGCCTGTAAAATGAACATGTCATATAAATAAACCACATTTTGACAAAATGCTTTTAATTAAACACAGGATTTATTCATAAAAATTAGAACATTACTTTTAATGTTTTAGTTCCCCCGCCCCCCACCCTCCGGGTCACCCTTAGTTGTTATGCTGCTGTTCTGTAAATATTCATCTAAGAAAACTCCTTATTTGGAGCCGGCTTAGTGTGTTAGTATTAATTATTTGTGAGGTAAAATAAACAATCTGTGATATAGGGTTAATAAATACAATAGCAATGATTTTTTGCTCTTGAAACCTTACTTGACCATGTTGCAGGTCATAAACTAATGGGATCTGCTCAATAATGTGTGCAGCAACCAGGCTAACTTCAACTAGAAGGGTAAGTTGAAGTAGTTCTGCTCTGTTAAATACTCAACATTTGAACTGGAAATTTCAACTTCTAAGTAAAAATTATTATCAACGAACAACAATTTATTTAATTTCTCTTATGACCAAACAAACTGAAAACGTCAAAGTTTAGTTATACTAATGTTTAAAAATTACTTGTAAATAAAATTAAACTTAATCAAATTTAGCATTTCCTGAGGTGGGTGTTGCTTTCTTCTTGACTCGAGTAAATGTTTGACGTTGACCAGCTTTTCAACAGATCCTGATTAGAACGTGCATCTGTGTATTGCTTACTTTGCGTCAGTCGAGGTCTGACAATTTCATGTCAAAAGACACCAACATTGTTTTCACGTTGTTGTTGACTCAACACATTTTTATGCTCTCAAATGCATGTTTGTTTACATGCATAAACGCACCGGTTCACACCCAGGTAAAAACCCTTCACGCAGTATGTTGGGTTATTACGCACTGTGTAATAAAGAAACAAACTACCTGATCAATTGACTTGTTGTCATGTCATTTTACAACCAATAGCTGGCTTTTTTCCCTCAGGCTGTAACACAAGGATACCACAGGCTGCTCATCTCCCAGCCATGTCACCCACCCACCCTCTGTGATAGGAGATAGGCCCCTGTGCTATATTTAGTCCCCAGGAGCTCTTTTGGCTAGACAGGCATAACGGACAAACATCATTGGCTCGCTTCCCTGTCACTCAGTGCAACAGCTGAGAAAGAAGGTCTTCAGAAGTTTACATTAGAGAGAGTCCACTGTGCCAAATTTAACCTCAGAAGGGAGGGGGTGACGTGGAAGAGCGAGCTGGACATGGTTAAGAGGGCTTCCAATGCGCTAGGTGTCCGTGGAAGACCCCTGGGCCGCAGCCTGGGTCCTGATTTCTGTTAGCAGGCTTTGAAGATGGACGACTGAGTCGGATGGGTTTTTTTCAGCGTGGAACGAAGCATATCGCTAGACAGACTTCGTTTTTCCTGTCCATTCAAGGGCATTGCTTGAGGGCCCTCGGATCAGGCGCCACACCGAGGCCTGTCTGCAGAACATGACGGCTCCATGGACCCTTCGGGACGTGAAAAGCTTCACTCCATGAGATGTTTTGAGTTCACAAAGTGGTTTTCACCAGTAAATGTGAGTTGTTTCATTTGAGTGTTTGTGACCTTTTATGTTAACAGTCAACAGTTGTAGATTTATTACCAGTTTTTCAGTCATTTCAAGACGAGCTCTTTCTAGCCTTTAATCGGCATCAATTATTTGAGTTTCTGTTTTGTTACCTTGAAGTAAGCAGGACTGATATTCATTTTTGTTTTTAACAAACAGCTCTACCTGTAATTGTTAAAGTATTTAAAAGCTGTCTTTGCAGTGGCTCCCAAGACATAAGTTCAATTCACAGTAGCATCATTCTGCTGAACATTAAATCTATCTGAGATGGAAAACATTTATAGCACAGCTTTTATCAGAGGCCGACAGTAGCAGCATCACTCAAATGTCTCCGGTTTGGACCTCCAACACATCTGGCCAGTGTTTGATTTCACCTTCTTGAAGGGATCATGTTGCCATGGCTTGAGGTCATGAAGGCCAGGACATGCAGAATCATGCCTGAAACCTGCCTTGCTCCTGTCTGCACCCACCAAATATATACTCTCCTAAAGTAAATATAATCCTGTCTGCATCCACTTGGATGAGGCCACACGTTGCTCAGTCGCTGAACCCTCGGCTCGTTTGCCTATCTGTTTTAAGTTTCCTGTAACTTTTTAGACGGTTCATGGTCATTTAGGACAAGAAAACATGCTCTAAACTCTTCATTTCTATCTTAGTGACCTGACACAGCCATGGGAGACTGGAACCTGCTGGGGAAGCTTCTGGAAAAAGCCCAGGAGCACTCCAGTGTGGTCGGAAAGGTCTGGCTCACTGTCCTGTTCATCTTCCGCATCCTCATCCTCAGCGCCGCCACCGAGAAGGTGTGGGGCGACGAGCAGTCGGGGTTCACCTGCGACACCAAGCAGCCCGGTTGCGAGAACGTGTGCTACGACATCACCTTCCCAATCTCCCACGTCCGCTTTTGGGTGCTGCAGATCATCTTCGTGTCGACACCCACCCTCATCTACCTGGGACACATTCTACACCTGGTGCGGATGGAGGAGAAGCAGAAGGAGAAAGACAAAGAGAGGCAACAGCTAGTCGACAAACAAGCTCCCTTTGTGGATGCTCATCACAAGAAAGCTCTCGTAAGGGACGAGAAGGGACGGGTGCGGATTCAGGGGGAGCTCTTGCGCACGTACGTCTTCAACGTGATCTTCAAGACACTGTTTGAGGTTGGCTTCATCGTAGCCCAGTATCTCTTGTACGGTTTTGAGCTGAAACCCATGTATACGTGTGACAGACCACCTTGTCCTAATGTGGTCAACTGCTACATATCCCGTCCTACAGAGAAAACAATCTTCATCATCTTCATGCTTGGTGTGGCCAGTGTTTCATTGTTCCTGAACCTCATAGAGATCTACCACCTGGGGTTCACCAAGTGCCGCCAGGGCATCACCTTCAGGAGGGGTCAACAGAACCTGTGGAGCATTTCCAAGGGCCACAGGGAGACTCCTGTGCCTCTGGTACCAAGCTACGATGACTACTTCCGAGAGCACAGCCAAGTCCAGCCGTCTTACCCTCCGGTACCAAGCTACAACCTCACTCCCCTGTCTGAGGGAACAGACTCGTCCTTCCACCCTTACCACAGCAAGGCTGCCTACAAGCAGAATAAGGACAATTTGGCGGTGGAGAGGAGCAGCAGCAAGCCAGAGGAATGTGACGCGAAGGGAAAAAAGGGATCAGCATCAGCCCCCGGGTCTCCTACGCAAACTAGGTCCGGTCATGGCGGCAAGCACAGCAGCAGCCGGACTAGAATAGACGACCTGAAGATATGAGGAGGGATATGTTTCTTGGAAGGGTCTTAAAACAGTTGTGAGGGGAATCTTACATTGTCAGGAAAGCTGCTGTATATGCTGAACTCACCCTCTCACACAAGACGACTCAGGTTTGACTCATTCCAACTTTGGGCGTGGGGTACATTTAAGAGTAGAGGCCAGTGTATTTGTACACTCAACACACGTGGGTTACCTTTTTCAGATCAGCTTTCTGCTTTGCTGCCATTAAATTCATATTTTGTGAAACTTAATAGTTTTTTGTTTTTTTTTATCTTATCCCAAATCACATTTGTTTGTGGAACACAGATTACACAAATGCATTATGATGAAAAATTGATTTGTATTGGTGATTATTGAGTTGGGTTGTATGGTATGACTCTTTCTGCATTAAATTACATGGTTTCATCAGGTTTAATTTTGTTTTTTGTTTTTTTCTTTCTTTCCTTGAAGTTCAGAAAGTTCTCAGACTTCAGAGCAGGAATGTGTTTGGGCTCTGGCTTGACTTCAGTGAATGAAATAAGATAGGGTGAAGAGTTAAGTTTAGCTTCCTTTGCCTGTTTTGAGGTCACAATCAAGTTCACTTGCTCTGACTTGAAGCAAAGAATTGTGCAATACGTGACAGCTCATTGAACGGGCGGATTGGCTGTCTCTGATTCCAGAAAAAGTTGGACTGGTGTCATGAGTTCCCAGATTTGTGCTGCCTCTTTTGTTTTTGTATTTTATTTTGACAGCCATGAAGTAGATAATTGTGAACACATTTTATTTTATTTTATTTTTGTGTGGGGGTGGTGGGGTCGATTCTTGTTTGTATGTGTATTTGTTTCCTGTAAAGCACTTGGTGACGACCGTGTTTGTTTAACCGCTCAAAATAAACCTGTCTTAAATTTGCACCGCCGGCGGTTCGTTTGTGTTCCGGCTCCAAATCGAGAAAAAGGGGAAGTGATTACATTGGAAAATGACCGTGGCAGCTGTTATTTTGTGTACTTTACATTACCTCATGATTGCTCATCCTGACTTTTACAGTGCCTCGCAAAAAATAAAAATAAAATAAACTTTTTAACATTCCATTAGATTACAGCCACAAAATTCATTGCATTTTATTACATTATTAACTCACCCCTGGCTGCTCATGAAGGCAATAGAAAACTCAGTCAGGGCACAATTTATAGACAGAAGTTATTTTTTTATACCTTGAGCTTGAGCTTCCCTTTCTAATGCAGGCCTTCACCTGCCCAGACGACCTTCACTACCAACCGATACTTCCCCTCTGCGTAATTTAATCTTCTTCTAGGAAGGATTCAGTGGAATAGATGAGTGAACAAACTGCAGACCTACAAACTACAGATCAAGGAACTATGTGTTGAAATGACCCAGGTCTAAACTTAATAAGGAATCTGAGGTAATTCTTGAAATTTTCTGTTACTGAACACTTTCAATTCAATCTGAGCCTGAGCTATTTCGCAAAGAACCTGAAGAACGTTAGATTTGTCTCTATCACTTCAGATTTTTTATTGTAAAGCATACTAAACTATGTCATTTTCCTTCTACCTTACATTTTTGTTGCAAGTTTTGCTCGTCTGTCATAAAAAGATAATTTAAAAAAATCAATAAATTTAAATATTAAAATGTGTAAAGAGTAATATTACTTTGAAAGGTAGTGTAAATGAATGTAGAAAAACAGATATTGTTTCTTCGGCCTGCAATGTTTCATTTAATCCATTTGAAATAAGAACCCGTCAAGTGCAGTATGGGTCATCTATATATCACTGTTTCAAAACTGACACGGCCATGCACGAAAAAAACCCATCATGTTTAAAGATTTGTGCTGTTCTGCAGACAGAGCACAGAAGAATGCACACACCTCCAGGAAAACATTCAAACTGCATGTCCAGGACGATGAACCACTCTGGTTTCTTTAGACCGATCATGAATTCCTTTCGGTTTTGGCTCTGTCAGCGGGAAAACAAATCAGGTTATCTTTTTTTGTCTGAAATATTAAAACCAAGAGTCATGCCTCTCATAAATCATGGTTTTCCCAGTGTTTTCACATACATTTCAAATTCTGACCAGGCTTGAGGGCTTTACTTATGTTTGTTGGGGTGCCAGACAGCTGGGAGGGGGCAAGTCAGTAAAATATAACATTTGAATACTCAGGAGTGTTATTTGCAATATAAAACACCATAAATCAGTAAAGGAAATAAAATATTCGACAATATCTACTTTTGAAATGAAGATGAAAAATGAAAGTCAGTTTTACACAGAAAAATGACACCATCCATCCATCCATCCATCCATCCAT